AGAAGTCTTCCAGCGACTCTCGCACTACGGCCTGAAGTTGAACCTGACACAAGTGCGTTTTCGGGCGCCCAGCGTTGACTTTCTCGGGCACTGCACCGACGCAGACGGCATAGCACCTCTGCCAGACAAGATCAGCTCGATCCGGGACTTTCCTACACCGACGTCCATGAAGCAATTGCGACGTTTCCTCGGCATGCTCAATTTTTATCGTCGGTTCATACCAAATTGCGCTACCATCCTCCAGCCACTGACGAACCTGCTGCAGAGAAGAAACAAGGACATCTTTTTGGGGAGATGCTCTGCACGCATTCCATACAGCGAAGGCTGCATTGGCGAATTATACCAGGCTCTCGCATATCAACGACGATCCAGAGACACGACTATTCCTGACGACCGACGCATCCGACGCTGGTGTGGGCGCGGTGGTTGAGCAAGAGTTCAACTCACAACGCGAACCCATCGCATTCTTTTCAGCTGCTTTCGCCAGCCCAGAGAAAATATAGCACCTTCTCCCGAGAGCTGCTGGCCATTTATCTGGCCGTCAGGCATTTCAGGCATCTTGGAAGGTCGAGATTTTACCATCTATACCGACCATAAACCGTTGACAACCGCGATGAGTAACAACTCTGACAAGTATACAGCTCGCGAGATCCGGCATCTCGACTACCTGTCACAGTTCTCGACCGATATTCGTCACATAAAGGGGAAGGACAACGCCGTCGCAGACACATTATCGCGAGCGGAAATTCAATCTCTTCAGACCGGCGTCTTGGGTCAAGATTCCATAGCCGCTGAACAAAAAATCCGACCCCACGCTGCAAGACGTCCTTTCGAATACTTTTTAAAGCTTCGGGAGTTCCCCTGCATCCTTCAGCGACGACACCCTGTACTGTGACACCAGCCTAGCAAGCCCTAGGCCCTACATCCCACCGACACTTCGGAGACAGGTATTCCAACATTTCCACGGGCTGTCTCATCCAAGTAAGCGAGCTACGGTCAAACTTATTACCGACCGATTCGTTTGGCCCAATATGAATGCGGACATTCGAGAATGGGTTTCACGCATGGAGTGCCAGAAGTGTAAGGTCCACCGACACACTAAATCCCCCGTCGGCACCTTCAGCAGTCCCGATGCACGGTTCTCACACATACATGTCGACTTAGTGGGACCGCTTCCGATGTGTCAGGATTACCAGTATCTTTGACGGTTGTGGATCGTTTTTCGCGGTGGCCGACCGCCATACCTATAAAAGACACTTCTGCTAACACAGTCTCTAGGACCATCCTGAAAGAGTGGATTGAACTTTCGGCACGCCCCACGTTATCACGACCGACAGGGGGTCATAGTTCCAGTCGTCCCTTTTTCGGGAGTTTACCAACCTACTTGGCGCCAAGCACATAAAGACTACCGCTTATCATCCGTGCGCCAACGGCTTAGTTGAGAGGTTTCATCGGTCCCTTAAAACCTCCCCGGCCACTAGACCTGACACTATCAATTGGGTGGACGACCTACCTTTAATTCTCCTAGCATTGAGGAACACCGTAAAGAGGATTTAGGTTGTTCACCCGCCGAACTGGTTTTCGGTACACCTCTTGCGCTACCCGGCGAATACTTCGACGACTCCCTTCAGACGTTTTCAAAACCAACATCTCCTTTCGTCGAGGAACTCCGCCACAAAATGGCCCGGCTTAAATATGCAACTCCACGACAGCAACCGGTGAATTCGTACATCCCTCAACACTTGCGAGATTGCAAATTCGTTTTCGTATGAACGACGCCGTGAGACGACCACTCACGCCGGCATACCAAGGTCCTTTTCAGGTTCTTCGACGCACCGACAAGCACCTTACGATCAAGCGCGCCAACTCGACCGACACCATTGCAATCGATCGACCAAGCCTGCTTTTCTGGAGAAGCGACAGTATGACGCAAACCCGGCTCTGCGGCCCCTAATGCTATTCCAGCGCACCCATCAGACGCAGCACCGCAGACATCAAACGACACCCCAGCGACTCCTGTGCGGCAGACCCGATCCGGTAGGAGGGTCACTTTCCCTAAAGACCTTCGTAAATATTATTATTATTAATTGATACGATCAATTTTCTAGGGAAGGGCCTTGTCGCGGTCGCCGATTATCCGCTCCTTACAAAGCCGACCTTGACCTTCAAACTCTCGATCTCGCAGATCTAGGTCAAGCAACAGGCCAGAAACCGGACGGCTAGTCCAATATCGTTGATGTCAAACCATACCTAGTACGCATCTGACTATGCTGAGCCATTCTAAACATCGGCAACTATAGACTATAATTTATTATCTACGGCCTTCTACCCCTCTAGCCAGGAGTACTTGAACAAATCTTTGCAAATATCCTTAGACACTTTTTTCGCCCAAACTAGGCAGCTCGGCCCGGAGGCCTGGATCAAAGTAGTACACTACCTTTGTGAACTTCCGGTGCTTTTGTCGAGTGTTACTCTTCGGCGCGATCCCGTCTCCACGGTCGATCCGCCCTGGAAGGTGTAACACCTCTCTGACCTACCTCGCCTGGTGATACACTCTGGCGCGATCCCGTTTCCGCGGTTGATCCGCCCTGTGGAGTTGTATCACTGGTCTGCCTTGGCCCTGTTTAGGACTCCGTCTTCGCCTGGTGATACACTTTTGGCGCGATCCCGTTCCCGCGGTCGATCCGCCCTGTGAAGTAGCATCACTGGTCTGCCTTGGCCCTGTTTAGGGACTCCGTCTTCGCCTGGTGATACACTTTGGCGCGATCCCGTTACCGCGGTAGATCCGCCCAGTGAAGTAGCATCACTAGTCTGCCTTGGCCCTGTTTAGGACTCCGTCTTCGCCTGGTGATACACTTTGGCGCGATCCCGTTCCCGCGGTCGATCCGCCCTGTGAAGTAGCATCACTGGTCTGCCTTTGGCCCTGTTTAGGGACCCGTCTTCGCCTGGTGATACACTTTGGCGCGATCCCGTTCCCGCGGTCGATCCGCCCAGTGAAGTAGCATCACTAGTCTGCCTTGGCCCTGTTTAGGGACTCCGTCTTCGCATTTCGGCCGAACCAACTACGTTCGCCGACCAATCCTAAACTACCGGGCCAGACCAGCTACTTTCGACCAGACCAGCTACGCTCACCTACCAATCCTAAACTACCAGGCCAGACCAACTACATTCGACCGGACCAGCTACATTCTACCGAACCAACCACGTTCGCCTCCCAAACCTAAACTACCGGGCCAGACCAACTACCGGACCAGACCAGCTACAATCGACCGAACCAGCTACGTTCGTCGATTAACCAGTTTTCAGACCACACCGATGTAAATGTGAATAAAAACGACACTTTTGTTAATAACAAAAACCTTTGCCTTTGTCCCGTCATTGTCTTGGCTGTTCACATTTATCGTATACTTAAAAACCTTGCGGGGGCGACATCCTACTCGGCCCCGCAACAATATAAATTTAACAAAGAATTTGATTTTAAAAAATTATAGTCAAATAGAAATGAAATTTTTGTTTCTCGTATAAATCGAGATGTATAATTTCGTTAAAAAACAAACAAAAAACACCTTGGTAATTTTAAATTTTAGTACTACAGCCATTTTAAGTACAGATGCCATTTATAGAACTGAATCTTGATTATGATAAGTGGTTCATAATGACTGAGATGATCTGCTTTTCAGCGTTCGTCCTCGGTCATTTCACTTGGCGTTTTCTAACTATTTCTCCTCATCTACAAGGCATAATTCTACGTATTTTTCCCGGTCTCTCGAAACAACTTTAATTTTTAAATAGTGATTGCTGGAGAGTTAACATTATGAAATTTAATTTACATTTAATGATTCTCAAGAAAAATCCAATCGCATAACATGAAAAAATAAAAAATTTCAAAAGTGTAATAATAGCACGAATTTTCTAAGCCAGCCAGCATTGAAAATCAACATTCGAAATTTGAATTCCTTACTGTGTTAAAGATTTGCAGGAATGATTTTGATATTTAAGTTTTAATTTGACACAGGCCATTACAGCAGAGCACCCAGTGAGTGTAAAATGCACGACACTATTCTTCAACAGACATTTCAGTGAAAATGATGTGGTTGATTATGCATAGCCTGCTATACAGTCGTAACACTTAAAAACAAACAAATGCAATGTTGCTGCAAATATTGATAAGATTCAGTTTGTATTTTTCAATTCACAATATTTTGCGAATACATTCAATTTAATTTTTGATAGTAACAATTTTTCCAATTGTCTAATAAAGCGTTAATTTATTACGGAATAAATTTAAATACAGTAATAATTTTTTTATGGCGAATGAAATTTGTATAGTGTTCTGCTTTGTAACAGGTAGGTTTATCGAGAAAAACAAAATGGGTGCTTATTCAAATTTCCTTAGTGACTCGCGTTTCGTCAGTTTTTTTAAAAATTATTTCACCCCTAAGCAAGACGATAAAGCCATTAAGATCTTTGGGGTTACTAAGAGTGAACAAGAATGAAGAGACGTTAGTAAAGAGAAAAGACAATAAAATAACGGGTTTCAGAAAGACATAAGATAGTGATTGGCATTACGTTTAAATATTTGAAGATCGTAGGTGACATGGAAGCAACAAACCGGAAGAGTTCCCTACACAAGAGAAGAAACTATTAGAATAGAACTTACGATTACATCTGGCGATTTGAACAGTAAAACGATAATACCTAGTTTCGTTTCCAATCTAGTAGTATGCTTAAATTTATGTGATTGGGGTACCAAGGAGCTTATTAGAACAATTGCCATGAGAATATTTACAGAAATGATACAGGAAAGCCACATCACAGCGATAGGAAATTGAAATCAAAATCGATAACATTACAGACTCTTCTTACGCTTTTTCGATATCTTGCTGAAGCACCAGACCAGATATGGCAACAATGAGCGTCGCCTAAAGAGGAATTATCTTTCCGATTTCATAACCTTTGCGAGAAAAAGAAATACAAGCAAATAATTAATACCAACAACAATGCGAAAATCAATAAAATTACAAATAAGGAAATTTAACCAAAATATTCTTTATGGTTTCATTACGATTGTTAATCGGCTACTTTTAATCTTGGTGCGTCTGCATTATCTGTGGGGGAACTCATATTCTTCATTATCTGTGGGGAAACTCATATTCTTCATTATCTGTGGGGGAACTCATATTCTTCATTATCTGTGGGGAAACTCATATTCTTCATTATCTGTGGGAAACTCATATTCTTCATTATCTTCTCATATTCTTCATTATCTGTGGGGGAACTCATATTCTTCATTATCTGTGAGGAACTCATATTCTTCATTATCTGTGGGGAACTCATATTCTTCATTATCTGTGGGGAAACTCATATTCTTCATTATCTGTGAGGAACTCATATTCTTCATTATCTGTGGGGGAACTCATATTCTTCATTATCTGTGGGGGAACTCATATTCTTCATTATCTGTGGGGAACTCATATTCTTCATTATCTGTGAGGAACTCATATTCTTCATTATCTGTGGGGAAACTCATATTCTTCATTATCTGTGAGGAACTCATATTCTTCATTATCTGTGGGGAAACTCATATTCTTCATTATCTGTGGGGAAACTCATATTCTTCATTATCTGTGAGGAACTCATATTCTTCATTATCTGTGAGGAACTCATTTCTTCATTATCTGTGTGGGGAACTCATATTCTTCATTATCTGTGAGGAACTCATATTCTTCATTATCTGTGGGGAACTCATATTCTTCATTATCTGTGGGGAACTTTCATTATCTGTGGGGAACTCATATTCTTCATTATCTGTGAGGAACTCATATTCTTCATTATCTGTGAGGAACTCATATTCTTCATTATCTGTGAGGAACTCATATTCTTCATTATCTGTGGGGGAACTCATATTCTTCATTATCTGTGAGGAACTCATATTCTTCATTATCTGTGAGGAACTCATACTCATTATCTGTGGGGAAAATTATTCTTCATTATCTGTGGGAACTCATATTCTTCATTATCTGTGAGGAAACTCATATTCTTCATTATCTGTGAGGAACTCATATTCTTCATTATCTGTGGGGAACTCATATTCTTCATTATCTGTGAGGAACTTATTCTTCTTATCTGTGGGGAAACTCATATTCTTCATTATCTGTGAGGAACTCATATTCTTCATTATCTGTGGGGAAACATATTCTTCATTATCTGTGGGGGAAACTCTATTCTTCATTATCTGTGGGGAACTCATATTCTTCATTATCTGTGGGGAAACTCATATTCTTCATTATCTGTGGGGAAACTCATATTCTTCATTATCTGTGAGGAACCTCATATTCTTCATTATCTGGTGAACTCATATTCTTCATTATCTGTGGAACTCATATTCTTCATTATCTGTGGGGGAACTCATATTCTTCATTATCTGTGGGGAAACTCATATTCTTCATTATCTGTGAGGAACTCATATTCTTCATTATCTGTGGGGAAACTCTTTTCTTCATTATCTGTGAGGAACTCATATATTCATTATCTGTTATCTGTGGGGGAAACTCATATTCTTCATTATCTGTGGGGAACTCATATTCTTCATTATCTGTGAGGAACTCATATTCTTCATATTCTTCATTATCTGTGGGGAACTCATATTCTTCATTATCTGTGGGGAACTCATATTCTTCATTATCTGTGAGGAACTCATATTCTTCATTATCTGTGGGGAACTCATATTCTTCATTATCTGTGAGGAACTCATATTCTTCATTGTGGGGAACTTATTCTTCATTATCTGTGGGAACTCATATTCTTCATTATCTGTGGGGAAACTCATATTCTTCATTATCTGTGAGGAAACTCATATTCTTCATTATCTGTGAGGAAACACATATTCTTCATTATCTGTGGGGAACTCATATTCTTCATTATCTTCTTTCTTCATTATCTGTGAGGAAACTCTTCATTATTCTTCATTATCTGTGGGGAACCATATTCTTCATTATCTGTGAGGAAATACATATTCTTCATTATCTGTGGGGAAACTTATATTCTTATCTGTGGGAAAACTCATATTCTTCATTATCTGTGAGGAACACATATTCTTCATTATCTGTGGGGGAACTCATATTCTTCATTATCTGTGGGGAAACTCATATTCTTCATTATCTGTGAGGAACACATATTCTTCATTATCTGTGGGGGAACTCATATTCTTCATTATCTGTCGGGAAACTCATATTCTTCATTATCTGTGAGGAACACATATTCTTCATTATCTGTGGGGAAACTCATATTCTTTATTATCTGTGGGGAAACTCATATTCTTCATTATCTGTGGGGGAACTCATATTCTTCATTATCTGTGAGGAACTCATATTCTTCATTATCTGTGGGGGAACTCATATTCTTCATTATCTGTGGGGGAACTCATATTCTTCATTATCTGTGAGGAACACATATTCTTCATTATCTGTGGGGGAACTCCTTCATTATTCTTCATTATCTGTGAGGAACACTCATTATCTGTGGGGAAACTCATATTCTTCATTATCTGTGAGGGAACTCATATTCTTCATTATCTGTGGGGAAACTCATATTCTTCATTATCTGTGAGGAACACATATTCTTCATTATCTGTGGGGAAACTCATATTCTTCATTATCTGTGGGGAAACTCATATTCTTCATTATCTGTGGGGGAACTCATATTCGTTCTGTAAAGTTGATTTGTTTATTTTCTCTAACTTCACATTGTTATGTTTAAGGATAAAAAGAAAATTGATTTTTTTTGTAAATGCCTAGGGATTAAACTTTTACTTTTGTCATAATAAAAAAAAACATGGCACAAGGTCGAAAAAAAAATGGGGAAAGAAGAAAGTATAGGTTTGCATTATTCTATCGTCAATTTATCTCATTGCATGTAATGGCCGACACGTTATTCAATGTCCTTTTCAATACAATATCGTATTTATTTTTTCACACAACAATCGCCATTATAGTTTTATGAAAATTCTAAATAAAAATATTTCATATTTTCGGTTTCATGCCGGTTTACGAAAAATAGGTTCATTTATTACAATTTTAAAATTTCACTACCAATGATTTAATGAAATGAAAACTATTTACGAAATATTTGTGACATGTGAACTCGCAATAATAAAATATGGCCGAAAAGTTGTGTGGGAAATGTGGGATAAATAAAATATTTCCACATCCGAGGACAACTTTACTTTTTGTAACTTAATCGGGAGGAAACGCCGAAAATTTTACACGGCCCGTCCATCTATTTGAAGGGATAGATAGGAGACAACTACCCTCCTGAGCGCAAGCCGACTGTTTTATCCCGTTAATTTTGGTCGTTGTCATGATCTTATATAATCCAATTTCTTTACTAACCTCCACAGTTTTCGCATTGCATGTTACAAGCAAAGAGATGTCAATAAAAGTTATGTCCCTGGCAGAAGTCATAGCGCCATCTAATGCAATACTACACAGGATCGAGTTTACTCTCAACTTGATCAGGAAACGTTTCACCCCAACGACGGAGTATGAGCGAAAACGGACAACCTTCAGAAATAAATGCGGACAACATGAAAAGTTTCGATCTTACCCAACTCATTTTCATCAAAGCTCCTGGCGATTCAGAAAAAGGATACTGAAATGAAAGCCCTGCTTGTAGATGGGTACGAATATGACAGCCTCCAAGAAACGATGATCAACCCTGTCGAATGTTTTGGACTGATCTAAATTTATCAACTACTTTTTCACAGAAGATATCTTATGTTGTGTAGAGGTATCCTACACAACATAAGTCTGTTCGAAGCCTATCCTGTACGCTCTGCCAGCAGTTTAAAATTTGGGCCAAAACTTTAATTCTATTTTAACATATTAACCATTGAATTAAAACTGATAATCCTACCCTAGACGCAAGCCGCTAGTGGACCGCTGGCGGGCCGCCGATGGCAACGCCAGCAGTCCTCTGGTAGCAGGCCACTAACGGTTCGCCACTGGTAACATTGCCGAGACGAACACGACGGCGGTCCGACAGCAGGCAACCAGTTGTAAACGCTAGTGGCATGTCACCCAGTGGCAGATAGGTGGCTTGCGTGTAGGGATGCACTCCATGTTTTTCTTTAAGTAAGTACTTCCCTACATCAGTAGCGAAGCACGGGGCGGGGTATTTTCTTGTTTCAACTCGTTGTTAAAGGTTACTGCCAACAAAGAGACAAACATGTGTGACAGCGTCAGATATATTTCGTAGGGGAGACTTGCGTTGCCTGGAGTTTTGTTTGTCTTGACCTGCATTTTAGGAACCTCATCTTGTTTTATGAATACCCCGCACTTAACTTTTTCAGTCGCCTCAGGGTGGAAATAAAACTCAGCCAAATAAACGTCGAGTTCAGAAAAAAGTGGAAATCTTCTGAAAAATAGTCACAAAATTCCTCGGTCTTTAATTGTAATCAGATATCACCCATCCCGTAATGTGACACTGGTGATATGCCAATTCGTAGCGCTCCGAATTTTGTCATGCCTTTATTGTCTAGGAAGTCATTTTTTAAAACTATTCCAATTACTACTATATATATTAACATGAAAAATTAAGCAAGGAGGACGGCACCGCCTTAGTTATCATTACTACGCCAACATTTCTTAATTTAATAGCCTTGTTTATTCTAGTCTGCGCGGCGACTTTATCGAAGTCGAACCGACAACTATAAACAGCGGAAAAAAACAAAAACAAAAACAAAAAAAAAACACGCAAATCTTACATTGGATATCGTTCCACTGCTTTTTCTCAACCACAGACCTCGTTATTTCCTAATTTAAGATTATTAGTAGTTTGTCCTGGAAATCCTTTTCATCCAACAAAGATATGCTGAATTTCTAGTAGCCAGCCATCCTCAGATTAACCGTAGCTGAATCCGAACGGACTAGCACATTTCCCATAGTATAGATTAATCTGAATAAAATATACTATAGAAATATGGACACCCTGAACGGGGTCGATCTCGGTAGAACGCAGTTTTGAATCAGAGGTCCTCTATCACTCAGTCCATGCTACATTCTGTGGATATTAATTTTAAAGAAGATCAAACCCGTTAACAAAATGGTGAAAATACCTTAATCCGAAGAAATATTAATAACCTCACTATCGGCAACAATGACAGCATTCTCATCATTCGCTAAAGATACTCTTCAATGATATCCTTGTCATTGTATCAATGAAACGAGATACCATATTCATTACAGTAACATCACAGAATTGCCTGCCGGATCTGCGTAGACAAATATTCAAAGAGCGGCTTACCAACTAAGAAATACTTCTCAAGTGTCTGTGGAAAGAGTTGAAACATTCTCAATGGAATATTCTTATCGTCACCTGCATTAAAATACGTCTCTTGTAGACAACATATAACCACTTACATCCGAAGAGCTGAAAGTCACGGACGTGTCTAACCCTTCTAAACTCGGAGCTTAGTCTCTGTTAACAGCCATTATCCGTTCACTTACGTTGTGCTTTTGAAAAAAATCCTTGAGTATCTCTGTTTTTATGTCACCTTTTTATGAACAGGCCTTCACATGTATACAATATAAGGGTCTCTTCCTGAACAAATTTCTATTAACATTTTCAAATCGGGATGCTTTTAATCAGCCAGCGGGGGTAGAATCTTGAAACTGATGCCTCTTCTAACATACCTTTATCCTTCTACTACCACGTAGATTAGACGTCCTTCGCAAATCAAAATTTGTCCTGGGTAAGACGATAAACGGCATCCAACAGCAAGGCCTCTGATCAGGAGGTTTTGAGGTGCGTGGAACCACCTCTTAATTGCTGGTGTTCTCAGGTCCACCCTGACCCGGGGTAGTAGCACCTGTTAGGGTCCCAGCTATGGGTAAATAGTTAACCTCCAAAATGGGGTCAAAACACTATGAAAGTGTGAAAACAGCTTTTACTACCAGAAATACTTTGTAAAAAATTATTACCAGCAATAAATTTTTGAAGAAAAATTTTTACCAGCAATACACTTTTGGGGAAAAAAATACCAGCAATACATTTTTGAAAAAAGATATTGTCAGCAATAAAAATCTTCTCGGCATTAAATAACCCATTGAAGTTGACATGCCATAAAACAAACCAAACCAAACTAAATTAAAATACTGGGTATCCCGATTAAATTTTTCTGGTAATAGTTAACATAATTTCCACGTCACTAGTGGTTATCCCGGTCTTACTTTTGATTGGCTAGACACCGGAAGCCTTCCCAAACTAGGCAAAGAAAAAGCCCAAGTGGTTCACTGAGATATACAGGGGCATTCCATGCAGGGTCACTTTTGTCTTTCTCGTCTCGAGGTATTTCGTTTGGAGCCTCACTGACTTGGTTGTGAGGATGCTCACAGCCAATACCTTCGCCGCGTCTTCTGTTAACAGCAGAATTTCCCACATAGCCCTATTCGTCTGGCCAATATTTTGACGCCAATATCTAGTCTTTTAAAGGACTCCTCCATGATCTCCCTGTTGACGCTGATCAATTTTCAAGTTTTGATGTCTGTATAGTTCTGGTGTTCAGTTTCCAAAAGCGATGGCAGCACTAGCAGCTCGTTTCTGGTAACAAACTTTTCAAATTGCTCCGTAAGTCCCTTATAGTACTCTAGTCTTTTTTGGGAGGGTCTGTTTTCTGTCCACATCGAATGGTTTGTTGCCGTAGGTGTCGGCTCGGGAAGCTGGGATTGCGCAATACTGTTGGCGTGCCCACGACACCATTCAACAATAAACAAAAACCGACGAACAAGAATTTACGTAAGGACACTAAAATACGTAAACAAATTATGAACGTGGAGAAAATTTAACACTTACTTTGAAACGATCTTAGCTTGAAAGAAACTGACGCGAAGAAATTCAAAAGGGAATTATCTGTAGAGCCAATCAGGGTCGATCAAGTCCTGAATCTCCTTCCGCTATCCCAGCATCACTACGGGTAGTTTTTGTCGGAGGACACAGCTTTACTCTTTATTAGAGCATGAGATTTGGGGAAAGATGGGGTGTAGTTGCTACTCTTGCCGTCAAGATCAGGATGTTCTGTACTTCTTTTCTCCGAGACTGTCTCAGTTCTTCACTTTCTTTTTATTAACAGGAATAACCATTTTGTCAGCATTAAATAACCCATTGACGTTGATATGCCGTAAAACAAATCAAACACTTTCTCTGTGTACAATTACGTTATCACTCGTCGGAGAGTGTTTTACTTTCAGTCTGGGTTTTTGTACCATTGCTTTGACCTTCCTTCTCATTTTTCCTATCATTAAGACTTCTACGGTGTTGCCAAAAGTTTATCGGCAATGGTGAAATCGTAGAAGGGAAGTGTGCCTCTAAAAGTCGACCAGGTCTTCCTAGTCGAATTGGTAAATGACGTGGACGGATGTAGAACTTGCGTCTAGCTAGACAACTGTCTTCTCTGATATATTCTTCCTCGGACAAGCTGTACAGAAGTGACCAGTCTCCTCGAAGTGCCATAAAGTCGATATTTCAAACTTTTACTGATCTCACTCATGTCGGAAAGAAACCATAGCAAATTGAATGAAATATAATCAGCTTACGTATTACCGACATATACACAGAAATTTTGTATGGCTTTTATCCTGGTCTGTCGCAGGCCCAAATATTGTATTTTTCTTCTGTGAGAGCAAGACAGTCTTCGAGTGTTGACAATAGCATGTGGAGGTTCGTATTTTTTTGACGATTTATTAAAAAGTTTCACTTCTAGTAGTGAAAGAAATTTAATCATAATCTTTTGTGGATTTCATAATCTTGTTTTTTTTCTGTCAACCACAAAGATAGAACTAGTTTTCTCTTCCATGACACAAAGTTCGAGCAAAATAGACTAGTAAATCACTTCAAACCTTTGGATCTCAGTTAAACATAGAGAAGGGGAAGCTCCCCCCCCCCACCGCCAGCGATTATCGAAATGAATGTAGTGACAGTAGGCGACTACCATAGGGTGATAGTCAGAAAATTTGTATCGTAAACAATTGCTACTGGAGTGAGTTTGTGACTCACTGCTACTCTATTGACCTTGAGCCAAGCTAAAGTAAGCTTTAAGTACAATTTCTAATTATTTTCATTCGTCATAAAATTTTAAACTAAAGGAATTTTAAACATTCTACATAAATATCTAACTTGTCATTCTCATCATGTTTGTTTTGATTCTTGTTCCGTAAAGGTCGTAACCCCGGAATCTGTAATTTCATTTTTTCCTTTTTGTTGTTCTACGACTTTGATGTCTTGTAGTCACTGGAAGAAAAAAGAAAAAAAAAGAAGTTTACACTTTTACAGCAACAGATATTAAAAATTCTGTTAGATCAAAAACTGATGTTTTTTATCACATTTCATTTAAAGTAGACAACTTTGAAATTAAACCGTGTGTTTCACATTTTGTTTGGTCAATTTTGAAACCAGCTGTCAGGAAGAAAGTCTAAACCCAGTGAAATATATATATATATATATATATATATATATATATATATATATATATATATATATATATATATATATGTATATATGTATGTATGTATGTAAATCACCTCAAAGATGTAACCGGGAAAGGTATTTGCATCTTTTCTTCTGGTCATCACAATCCCAAAGAACGAATATGATGGGAGGTGCTGGGTTGATATGCTCCGCCCTCTTTCATCTGTAATATATTTCTCAAAGCTTTCACACTTTTTATTTTGCAACGTAGATCACTGGGATAGCTGCAAAAGATAAAAATCCAACTACTTTAACATTCCCTAAACTCAAATAAACAAAGAGACAGTTATGAAAATCGTCTTCTTTTTTTATTACGGTAATGAAAAAAGTCTGACAACACTGATTACTTTGACTTAAATGATGAGAAGAATAACCGGATGTTTTCTGCAGTGCGCCTTTGTCATTCGTTTTCTCTAATAAGCCCCCTTATACATATACATACACATATATATATAACAGTGGTGCATTAACAAAAAAATGCTTGTCTTTTAGTTTTTTCCTTTGTAAACGAGGGATTACTTTCTGTCGTTTAAAAAGGAAAAACATTGATTCAAGAAATAAATGGTGAACTTCAATTGAACGAATAGTGAATAAATTAATAAATAATGTTATTGATAAAAAAAATGTTTTGCCTGAATTTGTAAAAAATCAAGTTTATTCACTAGCCAAAAATCAGTAATATGAAAAACGTAATTTTATGCAATAAAATAGTTTATAAAATCCAAAATGTGTAACAACGTGAATACTCAGAAATGAACAAGATACAATGATTTTTATCGAATAGTCAACAATTAACTATCAATAAAACTGACGAAGAAAAAAAGAAAGAACCGCTCGTTTCTGACTTTTTGCTATCGCATTTTCATTCATTAAACCACGCCCCCAAATAAAATAAAATAATGCTTTTTACAATTTTTATAGAAATGTAAACAGCTTTTAACTTAGTTTTTTTTTTTAATTTTTTTTTATCTTTGTTGATGTTTTTAGAGGCAGAAATCAGTGCTTTTCTTTTTTGATTAAATTTCAAGTTAAAATAAATTAAATGATAATTTCGCAGAAATGAATAATAAAATCCATGAGAAAGAAAAAATGATTTCACAGTGCTGTTGAAATGCGTGTGTCAAAGGTCAAATCAGGAAGAGGGGTGAATTGGTAGTGGAAGGTCTAAGTGTATTCAACAAAGTGGTTGTGGTTTATCGTAGAACGACAAAATCTGAATGAAAGAAAAAAGACATTTAATAACAAAAGTTCTTTGTCGTTAAAATTACCGTTTTTCGAATTCAGACCAACTTTTTTCTCATTAAACGAGTGTACATAATTTGTGAATGAGAGAAAGAAAGAAAGGAGAAAACGTCATTTCATTCACTCTTTCGCTTCACGCATACACACGGGTTTACTTTTCCCATCATTACTGCTGATAATAGCTGTTTTTTTGTTTGTTTTTTAATTCACATTTCGAAAAGTGCCCACTGAAAATGAGTGTCGTAGCACCTTTACGGATTCCAAAGTGTTTTTAATTCTCCACCTGAATTACTGAATATATCTCATACTTTCTATGAAATTTTTACTCGAACAACACACGTTTTTCATTTCTTTTGTCCACTGTCCAATGAAAAAGAACTTAGAAAAGAACCTACAGATGTCCCTTAACATGTAGTTTCGTTTGACTAAAAGAATTGCTACATTTCGGATATAAAATATCTCTTCATAGACTGTGAAGGATTAACAATAAGGATTCTACCCAAGTCCTTTCTGAGTACACTTTTTTTAAACATCCGAATCAAATTCTCGGCGTCGAGTAGGTAAGCCAAATTATTATTATTTTTTTTTTTTTTTTTAACAAAACACTATTTATCGAGGAGTGATGCATTACTCAACTTAAACATTGTTCACGTTTAATTAAATCATTTTTTTAGTCTGTTATTTACTTTTTTGGTACAAGGCCATAAGTTTTGGGCGCCCAAATCAACCCCACTAGCTTAACCATTACACCACACCGCTGTACCCGTATCATTTTTTTTCAGTCTGTTTGTAAATATTGTTCCTTATTCTTAATTTAATGTTCAATAATCCTAAATTCCAATAACGCCTTTCTTTATTCATTTGAGAAAATTTCTTAATTTCACTTTCAAAATAAACTTAGGGAATTTTATTTTTTTACCTTCTCTTTCCCAATTCATGTTTAATAAAAACTGATGTTTATTGAGATTTTTTAGCGTTAGGAAATATAAGGTGTCGTGTGTGTTTGCATAATTGGGAACTAAAGAATCATCAATTTATGTTCCAACGTAAAAAAAAAACAAAAAAAAAACTATACACTTTTCTATTTGTAGCGGAAAAATCTTCCTCTGTGACTGTGTGTGTTTTTAAATCGATTTGAGACTAAGTTCTCTGTGCTAATAATTTGCAAGACTATTCAAATAAATACTTAATAACTTAGTACTAGTAGTCTACTATAAATTTTTGTTTCACGTTATCTCGTCATTTTAATTGTGATTATTTAAGAAAGTGAATGTTGTATTTGATTCAAACGGAACCGTACCATAAAGCATTTTTTTTTTTTTTTTTTCAAAATAAATTTTGTCTCTTTCGACAACACATGTTCTCTTTCTATAATATCGCCATTGACAATGATCAGGTGTGCTCGTTGGCCTCTACAAAGGTTCATCGGATGGATTTTCTAACGCCTCATCTACGTCCTCCTTCCAGTATAACAATTCATTATTTCTAGTTAACATACACTTCCATAAAACTTATGGACACCCTGTTGCTTTTTAATACAGCTCAGCTAAAGTGATTGTTTTCGGAAGAAGAAAAAAAACTGTCATTGAACTTTTTTCTTTCAATTAAAAAAGAAAGAAAAAAAAAGCATTCCTGAAATAATTTTTTTTTTTTTTTTTTTTTTCTTCAGTGAATAACATTTTTTTTCTCGTCACAATAGAAACTTGCTTGAGGGTTTTCTTTCTTACAAGTGAGACATTTTTTTTTTGCTCCATTTTTTTTTTTTTTTTTCTCTATTAGAAAAGATCGATAAAATTATCAATAGGAAGAGTCAAAATACATAGGAAAAACATTGCTCAATAATTTCTTTATCCTCTTATTTTCCTTTGGTCTTCTTGAAATTTTCATTTTAATTTTGAATATGTACGTTTTATTTCGAACCTATGGATTCGAATTTTTTTCCTCTGAGTGGAACTGGAATAAAGTACACATCTCTCATAATTATTTTTGAATGTAAGACACATGTACGGTCTTCTTTTATGGCTAAAAACTAAAGCAGACAGCTTCCTCCGATGACCCTGTCAACATTTTTTGAGACACAACTAACTTGATTATTTTCCTCATTAGCCTAAAATACCTGATGTATGTCTTCATCAGGCGATCTTTTTTTTTTAACTTAAGCCTTCAGGTTTACTTGTGTTTCAGAGTTAATCTCCGAACTTAAGTGACCTCTTCTCAGTGTTGTCATTTTCCTGTTAACGTGATTTGCGCTCACTCACACCACACAGTAACTAATTTATTTTGTCGAATGAATGGGTTCCTTTAAAGCACTAGTTCTCATCGATTGTCTCTCTTTGTTTTGTAAAATATTTTGAAATGAATTGCTTTGTGAAGTTTATTTCCTTAGATGTTTTTTTCTAAACTGGTTTTTGTTTTGAAATAAAAAAAAAACAAACTTTTTTTAAAGATTTTTTAGTATCAGAGGAAATGTGGAAGAACTTAGAAAAACTCATGTGAGGAAGCAGTTTTAGTTCGTTAGTGTAGCAGTATGTGGAATCCACTCAATGCTTCAAATTGTTTGAACTTTAAATCTCAAACAAAATTAATCCTTCAAAATACCAACGTAATGAATGGCATTATTACTGCCATTTCACGTCCCAGAGTAAAAAGTAGAAATTTACAATCTAAATAAGTTGTGTGCGTATGATGTGTTTTTTTTTCTTCTTTTTTTAAGTTAAAAACTTGTTTATTTTATTTTATTTTTTTTTTTTACTTACTAACTGGAGCTCAAATAAATCTTGTTCTCTGTCATGTTCAGAATGAAACTAGCAATCGATGTGCGTACCATTGGACAACAATGCATGGGTCTTTAACTAAAAATGTTAATTTTCCCCACATCAAACTTTTTTTTGATATTTCAACATTGCTTCTTACCTTTCTTTTAGTCTTACTTCGTGTAATTTTGGTCTCCAAGATCGAGGAAAAAAATGTCACGATGTTTTTTTTTTATTTTATTACTCATTGTTCTTTTCTTTGAGGAATTTTTAATTTGAAAATTTTTTTTTTTTTTTTTTTTTTTTTTTTTTTTTTTTAGGTCGATAATTTTCCTCTTAATAAATCTTATAAATAAATAATTCAACTAAAAAATTGAAAATAAATTATAAACAAATAAAAGTAAATACAAAAAACTTATCAGATTATTCTACCTTTAAGTTTTAAATCAATGTTCCAGTTGTGCTTCATTGGTTTATTAATTTGTAACCTAAAAATAAAATGTAGGTAGAAAAAACGCAGATGTTGATAAGATAGCGAAGGTCACAAAGTACTGCCCGGGGTCCCCAATTAGGCACCCCCACCCCAGGTTGTGGGGTAGTACGTACCGGCCCTAGGAAATAGTCATAAAAAAAAAATCAAATACCCTTTGTTTGGTTAGGGGAAAGGACTTCATACACAAACAAAATAATAAGTAATAACTTCAGCTTGTCGGTAGGAAAGAGCCAAAGAAAATATATTTTCTTTTAAGGAAATATTTAAACGTTGTCGATAAAATTCTTTTTAGTAAAAATATACTTCAATTTGTTATTGTCAAAACTAAAATTTAGTTTAATTTTCTTTTATTTAAATTATTTCGAATTAATAATATAACATTTTTCCTCTTATCCTTATTCAAACAATGCGCACCTTATGAGGTTTAGGATTTTAAAAAGCCTTCTTAACGCTTTAAGGATTTTTTCTCAGAATATAAAATTGAAAATATTCTAAAGAATTTAATTCGGATTCCTGAAAAAGATCCCAGACCGATTGTCCCCCACCGAATTAATCTGGGCTAAGAAGACCCATTCATCACTTAACTTCACTGTTTGAATTCCACTACTACAGGTTTTATAAATAAAAAAATTAATTGACCGCTACTAGCTTGAAATTAATTTTCTTGGTATGTTCCAATCAATGTTAAATTTGTGTTTATAAGTCAACGAGTTAGGGTTTCAAACTGATATTATTATTTTTGAAGTCAGCGGTTTTTAGATTTCAGTCTTATTTTTTCTCTCCCCTAAAGAAGGGCCAAAAAATTATTAGAAAATGTATGTCAATAAAAATGGGTGTAGAAATCATAACGCGGTGTTAGTTGTTGGTGTTTTTATCAAATTTATATTCTTCCCACCCTTCTTTCGATTAACTTTGAGTTTGAAGTGCATCGCCTTTTATGTACTAAGATTGATCATCCGGATGTCATGTCGAACATTCAGCCGATTTCTGAATTTTATCTTTAGGCATAAATAAAAACGACAACACAGTCACATTTAGACATGCAGGGAAAACTTGCTACCATGTTCTTCTTGCACTTACCCAAAATTGCAAGTTAAAAACCACTTGACATCATCTTTGGCAATAAAGCTGAAAATGATCAGAAGAAAAAGATACAGTGTAACCCGGATATAAGAGAGTTGTCGGGACCGGAGAAGAAGTCTCTTATATCCGGGTTTCTCTTATATCCGGGTCTGTTCTATTTTGTTTAGGTAAGTATGGCTCTAATTTGGGACAAGAGAAAATCTCTCTTATATCCGGGTCTCTTATATCCGGGTTACACTGTATTTCACAATTTTTCCGCATAAAAATGCACTCGGTATTTTTTTTGTGTTAAAATGAAAAACTTTTTTTACACGTTACACGTTCAATATGGACAATTCGTATGTAATTGTAGCGTTTTCATCCGATGGGATTATTTTTTTAGTTTCCGCCACGGACTTTCTTAAAAAAAAAAAAAAAAAAAAAAAACGTAAACGCACATTTTATTTTTAAATAATTAAATGTCTTCACTGAAGTTCAATTTTTTTATTTGAAAGTTAATATAGCCTAAATTTAATACCTATTAAAATATAAATGTATTTAAATTTTTAAAACAGGAAAATTTTCTTGTCACTCATCGAATCGCCATTATAGACGAAAATAAATGTAAACAAAATTTTAAAATCTCTTAAAAGTCAATATTTACCCTACATAAGTTTTGAAGTCATCTAAATTTAAAGATTAATTAACTGTATTTTATAATTCATAAATATAATTTTTTTTTTTTATTTTATTTACGCACGGTAACTTGTTTTTAACGTGCGGAGCGCCATACGCATGCTCATGCGCCAAGGACAAAAATTGGTTTTGCCCAACCCCCCGTGACCACTGTCACTCTGTAGTCGGTTACACCAACCCAACCTCTTTAGTGGAAGGTGCTGACACAGGGTTGGAATCCCCGGGGCTGAGCAACTTCTTCCATCTAAAATGTGGAGAAACATAGTTCCATTTACAGTACATGAGCGATCACCACGCCTCGGTAACCCTCATTGGTAATGGTTAACTCCTGTGCCAGCAAGAATATTTCATTGTAAGAAATTTGTTGGAAGATAATGATTTACTAACACGTCTTACTAATTAATCCATAGCTAGCGGTAAAAGAGGTGGATTCACACTTTTCAATGGTTTGCGCGTAAATATCGGTTGGTACAAAAAAATGTAATGTCCGATTTTTGAGAAAAAAGTTTTTAGAACTTATTTATAAAATTTGTGCTTCTCGTTATAGTTACGGAAT